CTATCCATTCATAATACAAACAAAATTTAACATACTTTAACTCTAACATACAATAATAAACTTAAAAATAATATATATATATAAATTATATTAAATATATAGAAAATATTAGAAAAAAAAGATATTTATTCAAAAGCTATATGATAATTAATCACTTCATACTTTCTCTTCATATAATCTATCCATCTTCTCCACACCGTATTCACTCGTTTTGATAATAAGAAATGGAGGGGAGAAAATGGAAAATCCTCTACTGGAACTAAAAAAAAATTCTAGATGTATGAATCTTTAATGCATTGTTTGTGAAAAGGAAGCACTGTTTATTTGCATGAACATGAGTGAATACAGGAGGAAAAATAAAATGCAGATGGAAGAAAAATTGACTAAATCTGATCAAACACTGATAAAATCTGATTGAACTCTACTGGTAAGCATTCATGGTAAAGCTTATTTTATGGCAATGGTGAAGGCAGAGGAGAAAATATTCTTTCTTTTCTTCTCCGTTGCCCCTGCAATTTCAGTGTTCTCAGTAAAACTGTTTCAAGCGGTTCATGGCCTTTTGAGATCCGGCCACTTTGGGATGATTTACAACTCTCAGTGGTTAGCTATAACATATTTATAGGGACAAATAAATGACATTTATCTTGATTTAGATTCTACACTTCCAGCCATTTAATCTACAGAAGTGTGTAGCCCTAGGTGGTCAGATTTCTTCAGAGGAATTTGAGTGCTGAGGTCAAACAAAAGCAAATCCTGATATTTCTAACTTGTGTTTTTCTTCTTGAGAAATATATGACATGTTATTCTACGGATAACTGAATGATGGACACAGAAAAGGAGGAAGCAAATACAGATGGTCAGCTATTAGAAAAAGGACTTGTTCTGTCTGGCAGAAACAGATGGAAAGGACACAGGTCATAGCAACTCAAATAAAAGCACTGATGTCAGGATTTGCCTTATGTTTTGTTTGTAGAATAAAAGCTGCTTCAGTTACACTCCAAATTCTATTTCAAATAAGTTTCTCAAACTCCACAATGTTAGTGCTTTGAACAGTTGCAATAGACCTTAAATTGGACTTGGCAACTAATTGGAAAGCAGTAGAAAATCTTGCAATTTAAGCATTATACGTTTTAAATAAACCTCACCATTCAGCATTTTTAGCAGCTTCTTCAAACTCTTTGAAATTTCTACACATTTTCAAGGGCTAAAGATAAAGTTCCTTGGGTTGAGTCTGATTCTTTATGACTGTGTCCATCCAGTTTTTGGCAGTGTTACATTCCAAATCTGTTCACCTGCCTTGGAATTTCCAGGTGGTCCCCAATCCATATATAGGTAGTCCTCAATGTATTATCACAATTGAGCCCAAAATTTAACGTTGCTAAATGAGGTATTTGTTAAGTGAATTTTGCCCTATTTTACAACCTTTTGTGCCAAGTGATTCATTACAGGTGTTAAGTTAGTAACACAGTTGTTAAGTGAATCTGGCTTCCCATTAACTTTGCTTGTCAGCTGATCACGTGACCCCAGGACACTGCAATCATCATAAATACGAACCAGTTGCCAAGCATCTGAATTCTGATCATGAGACCAAGGTGATGTTGCAACAGATGAAAGCTGAAAAACGATC